AACTCGGTCCTGGAGGGCTGCAAAGTTTAGTTCCAACCCCAATCAGACACACCTGGGCTAGCTAATCAAGCTCTTACTAGGCTTTCATCCTAGTACATCCTTGCAGGTGAAAGGGTTTAAAATAGTTTTTTTTTTGTTTTATTTATTTAATTTTTATTTTATTTTATAGAGAATAAGTAGTAAGCCTTCCACTCATTGAAGTCTCACACTCCAACACAGTAGGTGGCGGTAATGCACCTCAAGCTGGTTTGCCACCCGCCATTAAACGAAAAAGAAGAAGAAGAAGAATCCTTGCAGGTGTGTTAAGGTAAGTTGGAACTAAAACCTGCAGGACACCGGCCCTCTGGGACCAAATTTGAACACCCCTGCAAGAGGGGTAAAAGGTTGTCAAAATCCATCTGTTTGATCATATACAGTTAGGTCCATAAATATTTGGACATTGACACAATTCTAACATTTTTTTGGCTCTATACACCAACACAATGGATTTGAAATGAAATGAGCAAGATGTGCTTTAACTACAGAGTGTCAGCAGTAACAGATTCCAAATGCTAATAGCACACTTTAAATCAGGGGTTCTCAACTGGTTTGGCTACAGGACCCACATTTTTACATGGTCATCAAGGCGCGACCCAAATTTTTAGGAACTATAATATAATTTAAGGAATTATAATTAATTTTTTATTTATTTATTAACATACACAAGTAGTGACAGAAAATCACCAATACTTACAAATAAACAATACTTTATCTCTGTCATTTAACAAAATGCATCAAATTATAGTAATATTAAAATGTCAAATACTGTAAACAGTGGTTAGGGTAAGGAAAAGTTCAGTTACCATTAACTAAACTGAACTGTTAATAAAATGTAAACACTGGTCCTGTTGATCAGAACAAACCAGCAAATTAAAGTAAAATGATTAAAATAATCATAACCATTTTTAAAATAATCACCAGTTATTTGCTCTTCTGCTATTGTGTAGGCTTTCTTAGCCTTTGCTACACGATGAGCACAGTAAGATGCGTGGAGTGCCTGTACTTGAACATGAAGATGTTAGGCACTTTTGTGAGCGATGCCCTCATCTATTGGACTCGTCTTTGAAAATAGTCCACAGGTTTGTCCTTGCAACTGGGATGTCATATGTAGCGAGAGCACCTCACTACATATGACACACGGAGGTTTTAAGCCTCCACACTTTACATTTTCGAGGTCGTACTTGCACTTCGACATATCTGTTGCTATAATTAAATGAAATTTCACATGTCAAACGATACGGCTGTCGTAAGCGCATTTCAAAATAAAAGCCCGATATGTGTAAAATAAGTTTAAAAAATTTGTAACCTTTGTTGTTGTTTTTTTTTTTGACTACACACCGCGACCCACTGAAAATAAAAAAACACCGCATTAAATGACCTCTTGACCTTTTATCTGCTCTATAATTGGGATAATGAGGGAATAACACACACACACCTGACCATGGAACAGGTTAGAAGCCAATTGTCCAATTACTTTGGTTCCTTAACAAGTGGGAGGCACATGTGCAAACTGTTTTAATTCCAACATCATTCACCATTTGGATGTAAATACCCTCAAATTAAAGAGCCAAAAATGTTAAAATTGTGTCTATGTCCAAATATTTATGGACCTAACTGTATGGACATCACTGTCACTTCAGGACTGATATTTCTTGCCTCGAAATTCCTGCTTATTCTTTCCCTTATCATCATTTTGAATCTCACTCCACATTCAAGTTTGACATCAATTTTCCAGCTCCTTGAACTAAGGCAGAACCTTTAAACTTTCTACAGTTCACCCACTGTGAGAGATGCTATCGGAGCTCATGAGCAACATGCTGGCGAGAAATAGATCCCCAAAGGGATTTCCTACCAATTCAATCTTAAGCTTTCGAACTAAACCAAGCATGGAGATGACAAAAACAATTAACAAAACAGTGAAGGACAACTGGCCATTGTTTTATGGTCATAGCATTTTTAATTATGAAACATATTTATGAAAGATGTGTTACATAAAGAGGCAATATTTAGCGCTGTAATAAAGGAAAGTGTTTGAGGACTTAAAATGAAACGTCTTTTAAAAACAGATAAAAAAATAATGTAATCAGCAAAGGCAGTGAAGAGTAAAAGAGGAATCGGTAAGACCTGCACATATTGATAGTGACAGTATCCATGTACAATTTTAATAAGATTTTTAGTTATTTTATTTTGAGGTAATTCTCGCTATTTATAAATCATTATCTATGACTGTTGCCTCAGTAAATTTGCTGCTTATTGATAGTTATTAAAGTGGTAGGGATGTAGAATTAGATCAGAATATGTACTTTATATATTTCTTACTAATAGGCAGGTAATAAGCTACACTTTCTGTTTGTCCAAACTGAAAAAAGTGTTGCATGCAGAACTGTTGCAAACAATTTATTTGTGTTGAATTTAAACAAACAAATTAAGTTGAACAATGTTCAACTTAATTTGTTTGTTTAAATTCAGCCCAAATAAATTGTTTACAACCACTAAACGTAAAAAATTTTGTTAATCCAAGGAATCATCTTTGAATACTTTTTTCAGTGACCTATTTTAGATGAAACAACACAATTCTAGAGTTTTTTTTTTGGGATAACCTAATTGTTTTATGTTCAATTCACTTAAATTTGTAAACACTAATACAGTATGTTAACTTAACTTTTTCTCGTTATCCTAACACAAATTGATCAAGTTAACTCAGTTGTTTTTACAAATTTGAATGAATTGAACATAAAACAATTAAGTTGTCCCAAAAAACCTTAAGAATTGTGTTTTCAACTCATTTTAAATAAGTAGTTTAAACAAGCAGCACACGTAATTATTTGAGTGTAGTTAATAGTCAGAAGTGTCTCTTAAACTAAAGTATTACAAGCATTTTAAAGTAAATACATATTCAGATACCACTTATTTGATAAAATGAAAAGTCTTAACAATTTTAGAAAATCCCAATAATTTTAAATCAGTGTCTGTATTCTGTTTTTAGGAAACAACCTTTGGTAATCAAACTTGAAGCTTGTGTTAGTACAAGTACACTTCACATATTGTAAGGGGGACAGTCAATATGGGACTACTTTATCTGCAAAAAACGCATTCACCCAACTTAAGCAAAACAATTTAATCCAGTACTGACATTTTGTATTTTCCTCATGCTCATGGTTTTGGGAGGACGTTTTGACCACATCCTTTTCAAAGACAGCCTTTGGTTTCAACAGAACGAGATGCTGAAACTATTGGTTTTATCATCTAAAAAATAAACAAGTTTTTGTCTTGGGCAAACTTAATTATTATTACAGTTCACGTGCATATTTAATTTTTTTTTAAATTGGTAATTTAACATCAGTTTCCCAGTACTGGGTTGCGGCTGGAAGGGCATCAGTTGCGTAAAACATATGCTGAACTAGTTGGCAGTTCATTCCGCTGTGGCTGACAAAGCCGAAGGAAAATGAATGAATGAATAATTTTACATCAGCTTCTTCCAAAGTAACCTTTTATTATTGCATGATGATTTGCTGTTGTATAATTTGTTGAAAAATGAGACGATATATTCATATTTGGTAGTGTTTGAAACTTTTAGATGCATTATTTATTATTCCCATTTTCTCCCCATCTTGATGTGGGTTTCCTCTGGGTGCTCTTGTTTCCCCCACAGTTCAAAGAAATGTGCTATAGGTAAATTGGTTGAACTACATTGGCCCTATGTGAATGAGAGTGTATGGGTGATTCCTAGTACTGGGTTGGAAGGGCATCCGCTGCATAAAACATATGCCATAATAGTTGGGGATGGCAACCCCTGATAAATAAGACAAGCTGAAGGAAAATTTATGAATAAAATTAATTATTCCAGAATGTGAATATATATATATTTTGAACACATTTCAAGGTCTTGTAGCCCACACCAATAGTGCATTTTAAAAAAAGGTTGTGCTTTTAAAAACATCTTGTGCCTTTAAATTTTTTCCTCAAATGTTAAACTTCATGTCACAAGCGCTTAAAAAATGTACAATGTTTATTGTATGCTTACAATGTTTTTTTTTTATAAATCTGCAATTACTGCACAACTGTAGGTTACTCTTAATCTATGTTATTTGCGACACAAATGTGTCACAATAGGGTAATTGCAGAAGTATGCGGAAGGACTTTTAATTTTTTAGTAACCTGGGTCATTGTGTGCCATTTCAAAATCAGCATGTTTAAGGTCTGTTTTCTTTAAAAATCAACCACTGCCTGATTAATATATGATATAAAGTGGGTCTCAGAATGTGTACAAGAAGCACTGCATTAAATTCTTTAAAATATAACATTTATTTTATCCCAGTACTTTCAATGGAGTTTCTACGCTAGCCTGCTAATCCTGCTAGTCCTGCTAATCCTGATGGGCGCTTGCATATAAACGGCTTTTCATCTCGTTTAATGTTTGAACAACTAAATAAATGAATTTAACTAATTATATTTAAATTCATTACAGCATCGATGCTGTAAAAGCAACCTTATAAAATTAAAAAAAAGTCACATTAACCTTTCACTGGAAGTTTATCATTTTGGTAAGAAACACTATAGCTGCATATATATTGAATGGACATGGAGTAGCCTATATTTTCTCTCTGACATAACCAACAGTTCCGCGCCGGCTTGTTTTTGGACTTGGTCACTAAACCAAACAAAAGCTAGTCAAAAATTCGCTAAGCTGTCACGATAATGTAGCATCAAAAAAAAAAAAAAAACACACACACAAAATAGACTTTTTGTAGCTACACATCGGACGACGCCTCGCGAAAATTTCTCACAGGAATGTACTATACAATCGACTAATCAAAACAGCCAACTTATCCAGCCTGACGCTCCGAATGCATCTCCGGGGCTCAAAGTGCTGTCTACTAAGGCAGCTCACTAGGATTTAAAACACAGCCCGAATGTGTGCGTTGAGCGCAATGGAGCCGCTGTCAGAGACTCGAGGAGGAGCCCACACACTCCACATGCTCGCCGACAGATGAGCTGAGCGCCAGTTAGATGCACTTGGATTACCGGCTGCTGAACTGAAACAACGTCTCTGCCCATAAAAAAATATGTTAAACAGTGACGTTTCTGATTACACTTCTTTTTAATGACAGGATATATCTCCGACGGAGATAAAACACAAGATGCTGTGAATGCATCACTTGTTTTAGTGCCAGACGATGGAATTCAGTTTGAGGAGCCCAGCGTAAGAAAGTGAAGTACGGATTTACATTCTCATCTGCGTAAAGGTAAGATGCGAATTTAATTACATTTATAAATACTATATTTAGCCTATATATAGCCTTGCATGTTTTAAATTACATTTAATCTCGCTTTTCTTTAAGTCTTGCATGATTTTATTTTTGTTTCTGCGTATGTGTTGTGTTTTAAAAATGTTTATCTTATTTTTAAAATATGATTATTAATAAAATAATGGTTTAAATATAGAGATCGTATTCAAAATGTTAAAATTGCCTTCAGTTTTGCACAATATAAATGTCAAGCGTCGACTTAGCAACATGCAGCCATCTGTTTGTTTTCCAATACAATGAAATTTCCTACTGTCAATACATTTAAAGCACCTTCCAACTGAACTCAAAAGCGTCTGAAAACACGAGTTAAGCTCTTTAATTGGTTTGCCAATTATGTAATATAAAGAGTTCACATAACAGCATCTGTGTTTTATGAGTATACATCAAGTCTGATGGTGACAGATAACACACTGGATGCTTCATAAACTGAGTGTTTTGCAGTTCCATATTGGGTACTGGTTTAGTTAAAGTTCTTTTTATTATGATTATAATAACCACATCGTTTTATCCCTTGTGTTGGCTCATTATATAAACCCTATAAAGAAAGCATGCAGTGGATAGATTTCCTTTATGGCAGGAGGATTATAGTGGAGTCGCCACCGTATTTTCCACTGATAGGATTAAGAGATGCAACTGGGAAATCTGGAAAATGATTAAACAAACCATTGCAGATGTGGTTTTTACAGTGGGGGAAAAAGGAGATGCATATGTTCTTACATTATGCATGTTAAACCGAAATATCAGAAAGCACAAAAGACACAAACCAGGGATGTATCTTAAAACTATTGATTTTTCTTTGCAGAAATAAAGGTCTGATGTAATTGAATAGTACACAATGCATTATTTGAGCTGGACCTCGTATGCCAGTTCGATTTCCCTTTTATTTGAAATCAGTTTTGTCCATGAAACCAAACCCAAAAGTGAATCACCATAGAGAGTGGAAACAACCACGTTAATGTAGGACTAGTTCCAGTTCACAGGGTCGTGGACATTCACTTGTTGAGTTCTGCTCCTAATTCAGATAATGGTCATGCATTATTCATTAGTGAGGTTCAGGCCGTGTCTACATGTTTGCAGCACTTTAAATATTATGTGGAGGTAATCTACCAGAAAACTGATACTCGCCATGGACCTAATGAGCTTTTGTTGTGTAGATGTGTAATGATTTACTTGTATAATTGGATACTGACCATATAAGCATAAGCAGATGTCTGGATTTGTACAAGAGAAACAGCTGAAAATACTTGCAAAGCGTCTTTTATAAGAACACCAGCTCTTAATGAGGGTAAAAACTGAAAATTGGACCCATTAACCGTAATAAAGTTTCTGAAAAACATCCTCTTTTTCTGCATTATTGTTATTTAAACCATGCATTTAAATGTGCTGATTCTCTAGAAAGTAGATTAATAATCTTGCTAGTTAGTCAGTTGGGTGAATATTTCACTTAAAACACTAGATTTCTTTAGGATAATGTCCTTAATGTTATTTTGTAAGGAAGATTTTTCAAAACAGGCAGGATTGTGATTTTCATGCATGCTTTTTTCATGCTACATGAGGTGTGAGCAATCAGTAGGTGGAGCTAAAGTACAATGATGTGCAGGGATCTGGAGAAGTCCACCTCAGACAGGCATTTATAACACGGCATTTACTTTTTAAATACTTTTATTTAGTTTATTAATGTTATTCAGCTGATCAAAAGTGAGAGTATAATGTTGCAAAATTTTTCTATAAATCAATATCCTTATATCAGGGTGTCCGCGGGGTCTTAAAATGTATTACATAAATAAAAAATAAAAAAAACAGAATTTTAGGTTTTAAAAAGTCCTAAATATACTGAATTATGGACTTGTAGGTCAATAATTGGTCATTTTTAACCAGGTCTAACTATGTCCATGTAAAGCTACACTCAAAAAATATATATTTTAATTGTTCGTTCAAACTACTCATTTAAAATGAGTTGAAACAACACAATTCTTGAGATTTCATTGGGACAACTTAATTGTTTTATGTTCAATCCACATAAATCAGTCATCAACAATCCATTTCAATAAAACATAAACCAACCTACATGTAAAACTTATATTATAATAGCTAATTTAATAACTAAGCCAATTTAATAAAAAAATTACTTTGAAAGTTCTACATGTATTTACAGACCAAATTGGTGTAAGAGTCTGACCTGGATAGACTGTTGCATGTGCAGACATTTAGTTTATTAAGAGCTTATAAGTAGTGTTGAAGAAAATGACTATGTATACAACTAGGGGTTGTTTGCTTGTTTGACATATTATGTAAAATATGTGGCTAAGGAATACCTAATTATTACATTTGATGGGGTAAATGGTTTTAAAAGGTCGTACAAAGTCTTAAATATAACTTAGTGAAACCTGTAGGAATCCTGTTATATCTGTATAAATATTAAATAACATTGCAAATTATATTAAATATCTCCTGAGCACCAAAGCAACTGCCCAAAATTCAACTTTGCCACCAAAAAGCACCAATAGTGCAATTTTGAAATATTTCAAAATATAAAAAAGGGTCACTTTATTTTAATGTACTATTTGTGCCAGTATTTTAGCTAAAAAAACAAATACTATTTTTTGATTGGTAATAGTTAGTAACATAGTGGCTAGGTTTAGGTATTGGATTAGGGATTTAGAAGGAGAACATACCTTATCAGTGCTAATAAACAGACAATATCTTATTAATAGGCAGGTAATACGCTGTAAAAAAATGCAGGGTTTCACACAATTCGTTCATGTTGTCCCAACACAAATTAATTGAGTTAACTTAATACGTTTAACAAATTTATGTGGATTAAAAAATAAAAATAAAAATCAAATTGTCCCAATAAAATCTCAAGAATTGTGTTGTTTCAGCTCATTTCAATTAAGTATTTTGAACATGCAAAAAAATATATTGTACATGAGTGTAAGAAGTTATTATTGGGAATTTGTACTAAAACATGATTTATTAATAGTAGTTAACAGGAATTAAAATACTTCTGAAGCATTTAAAAATAGATAACATTAAAACATTAACAAATACCACAACTTTTGATTTTAGCAATATATTCATTCATTCGTTTTCTTTTCGGTTTAGTCCCATTATTAATCCGAGGTCGCCATTTAGCAATATATGAGTAAATATTATTTAACAGAACTGACCTTACATGTTGCTGCAAGTTATTTGATTTTATTTAAATTAAAATGACATTTAAAATGTTATTATTTAAATATATTAGTTAACACCAGCAAATACCAACAAACTCAATTTAAGGTTAGGAGTACACTGTAAAAAGTGAGTAACTCATTGCCATAAAAACAAAGCCTTACTTTAAAATAAAATCATTGTTACTTGGTACTGTAAAGTTGACTTGATTTTAATAACTCTTTTGACTCAGTTTTTAAACTTAAGTCAGCTAATCACTTTTTAGAGGGTAGTAATAAGTAGCTTTTTATTTCAACAATCAGTGAAAGTTACTTTAAAAAGTAATATACAATCTTTCATTTTTAAAAAGTAACTACATTAAATATGTTACTGTACTTGGTTACTTTTTAAGAAATGTAATGTATATCGTTACTTTTGCATTACTTTTTACATCTCAGCTTAATTAGCCTTTTTAGTAATAATGTAAAAAAAAACTATTTTCACAAATGTATTATACCAAACGTGATGTCAAAAAACCAAACCCGGGCACATGGGAAAATGGGAAAACAAAGTACTAATTCTGGTGATACTTTTTAAAAAAAGTAATTTGAAAAAGCAACTAATTAACTAACTAATTACCAGGGCAAGACGGAATCTGCGGACGTTTTTTGCTATTTCTGCGGAGAATTTTGGTAAAAATCTGCAGATTTCTGCGGAATTATTATGGGAGTATCCTACGGAGTATCATAACTAAAACCTTAATATATGAAATAAAAAGTTATAAATTACTAAATAAAAACGGAATAAATTCAGATTTACAAATTTACTCAAGCAAATAAACAGAATTAATGATGGGCTAAAAATCTGCAGAAATCTGCGGAAAATCTGCACGCGCAGATTCCGTGTGGGCCTACTAATTACTTATCTGATTACATAACTTGCATTACTTGTAACACATTACCCCAACACCACTAACAACTAAAATATACCGTGTTTTACAGTAGGACTATTAACTAATGTTAATTAAGATTAATAGGAACTGTAACAAATGTATTGTTAGATTGCTACTTAATGCAATATCTATTGTTACGTAAATTGTTTCCAAAATGGTTAAGAATTATTAATTTAAAGCAAAGCATTGTATTTCTCACAGTACATACCAGCTTTCAAATATTCGTGAGTAATGTCACATCTCATGCCCTATTTGCCATGATTGAGTTTCTTTAATGAAGGCATTTTTCCACTCAGATATTAATTACCATGCTCGTTTAAACTGAACTGATGGTTGTGGTACTTCCTAATGAAGCACATCAGTATAGCAGACTTTTTCATAAACACCTGAGCGTGAATGAGGAATGTCATTTTCTCTTCAACATGAACATTTCTGTATATATCTCAGAAACAGACCCTTAAAGATTCATCACAGGAAGAGAAATCAAAATTGTGCACAATGAATGAAGCAAAAATGACTTCTGAATTATGCCTCGCAATAAGAGTTTTCTGTATGTCTGAAGTATGTCTGCCATTTCCACATGGATTCTGGATTTTCATTTTGCTTTCATTTAAGTGCCTCATTTTCTTCACTCATTTTCACCAATGTTATATACCAAGTCTGTTGTGTTATGTGCCAAGTCTGCTAATGCAATCTTCTTTTACTTCATCTTCTTTCTACTTGATTTTCTTTCTGATGGTCCACATGGCCTGTTCTCGTTTGCAACCTATTTGGTTTTCTCTATTTTTGTGAGTGGATCTGCTCACCGGTGGCCTGACAGACAAGCAGAGGT